AATAAGCTATTTTTTTGGTAGGTGGCATTGAAGTGGTTTATGTCAATTAAGAATAGTCTATATATTAATTAAAATATCGATAGTAAAATAGTAGTATAACTATAATTAGAGTAGTTTTCTTTAAATTGATTTCTTACATGCTAGCATTAATAATAAAATAAGAAAGCAAAAGTGATAAGGAAATAATTATAATATGTGGCAATCAATGAGAATAAAAGAAGTTAAATACCGAATAATGGGTAATAATTAAATAAATTTATAAAGGCTAATAGAAAAGAAATTTGAGAAAATCGAGCATCATAGATCTAGTCCTTTCAGTCCAAGCAATTAAAATAAAATGTTAAACCATGAAAAAATTTATAGTGCATGACATTTAAGACTTGTCCATCATTGTTAGACTTCCGTAGCTAATTTCATACCTAGTAATACCATAGGAAAGACACAATGCATTGTTGGTTGCGTTCATTGCACTTTGAATGTAAGTTAATGATGGTAATATTCTCGACCTATTAGATCATAGGTTGGGGGTGTTGTAATAAGCCCGATAATGATTTGAGGATTTTAGTTTAGTATCGGAGGCTTACTTGGGTCAAGGTAGGCCTTATGTCCCCTCGATTCTCGAGCTGGTCATGGTCCACTCTTAGGGTCGTAACATTTTTTAATAAATTTTCTTCAACAATTATATTCAGCATACATTAAAATATTATAGCTAATTTTAAAATTTTATATAATGTTGTTGATACACACATATTTAGGATTAATCCTATAGTTTGTCTTTGTATTTGTGTTTATCTATTAATTTTGCTATAGTATTTTTAAATTAGGCAATTTATCATTATCTATCCAATTTGAGTCAAATGAGACAAATTACTAAAATTTTTTTCGAATTATAGAGTTTTAGATGACTTTGCATGAAGTGGGTATAGGAAAAGATAAAGAAAAAAAAAAGATATGAGATGAGAAAAGATAAATTGAGGCTTTGTTTTGCGGATATAACGAGTTAACGAGAGAGAAAGATGTAAATTGGGGTTTTAAAACTTTTGTAAAAAAAAAAAAAAAAGTAAAAAAAATCAGTTGCGATTTTAGGGTTATTTTAATAATTTTATCTTTATATCTTTTTTTCTTTAACTTTATTTCATGCGTATCAACCATTACATATTTCTTTTACTTTGTCTCTTTTATATGAGTCAATTGATTAAAATTGAATAATACAAATTCATGAAATTTAAAATATAGAGCCAAAATTTATTTTTAAATGGATGAAACTTCTCTTGAATTTTAACTCATTTGAAATTGAGTTCATAAAGTTCAAATTTGGTTTTGGGAATCTCTAAACTTTTAATTTTTTTGTAATTTAGTCAATCCAATAATTTTTAGCTATAATTCTTGTCTCTAATTTTTTTTTTTAATTTTTGGCATTTCGATTTGAAATTTTGAAACACTTTGGAAAAATTCCAATCTATTTCTTAGAGAAATTTCGTTTTTTTTTTGAAAAAATAAAAAGCATATTTTTTATTTTTTAAATATTAAAAATATATAAAATAATTTGAAAATAATCTTAAATTTTTTGAAGAGCCTCATATAAATCTTATTGAATGATTTCTATCATGGAACTATTTATGTAATTGTTATTTTTTGAGATAAATGATAAAAAAAACTGAAGGATGAGCTAAATTTTGAGAAGTTAAAAATTTAGAATCCTAAAAATTAAATTTAAAGTTCATGAATTTAATTTCAAATAAATTAAAATTTTGTGAAATTTTTATCCATTTAATCAAAATTTATTGCTCAACACAAACACAAGGACAAACTATATAGTTAAGCCCACCCATCGACGAAAAATAATAGTAAATGGCAGATTATAAATGACCATCCATTGTTTAATGATAATTTTTGCCCCCATTTTATTGTGATTTAGTAATTTCAAGATAATAATATCAAATCCCGTAATTTGAATATCAAGGTATTGGAGATTGAGCAAATATGATTCAAATTACCCAATCTCTCGTTATGTGTAATGATCAACCCAATTAACCGTTATTTGGAATGCAAACACGACGTCGTTTTGACATTTCGATGTTAATTATTTAAATAAAAATTTTAAATATATTTTTAACTCCTTAATCTTGAACTTTTTTTAAAACTCTTTGTTGTTATAACAACATTTTATAAATATTTTTAACCCCTTAGTTTTGAACTTTTTAATTCTTTTTTATAAAATATTATAAAATTTTTATAAAAGTATATATTTTTTATAATTTATAAAATTAGGGGGTCAATCCCTAATTATGCTTATTTTAATTTATAAAATAGTTTTTAAAGCCTAAAATTGTGTATGATTAATTATGTTTTTTTTTTCTTACAATAATATATTATAGAAAAAGTATAAAAAAATTCCAACGTAGGAGATTAAAAATATTTATAAAATTTTTTATATATAATTTATAAATATTTTATAAGAAAAAAAGTTTTTTAAAAAGTTCAAGATTAGGGAGGTTTAAAATATTTTTTAAAAAATATAATTAACAATAAAATGTCAAAAGATATTGTTTTGATATTTCAAGTAATGATTAATTCAATTGACAATTATACATAGTAAAGCTCGGTCAATCCGAATTATATTTACGTAATGTCTAATATTTTAAAATTCAAATAATATAATTTGGCATTATACTAGCATATATCTCACTCGTTGTTGCGGGATGAGCTATACAACATTATTATGTGTTCATTCATATAAAGTACAAAATTTAAAAATAATTATTTAAAAGGATCATGCAAAAAAATTAAAAAAAAAAGGAATCAAAACATATGTTTCATATTTTACCGCAAGGTTAGTTGAACGAAAAGCCTATAAAGTTGAGTAATATAATGTTGCTAATTAGATATTGTTTGATAGAAACATATATTTTATTACAAATATGTATAATAACCGATAATTAAAATAATGATAAGAATTTTTTTTGAATTTTAGATGATTAATTTTTATAACATACTATTCATTTGTAATTTGTTAATGAGATCGAGAGACCACCCAAAACAAAAAGACAAAAAGCTTTGTCAAATCGAGAATTTGACAAAAAAAATAGAGATAAAATTACACACGATAAAAATTAAATGATAAAAAAGTAAAGATCATAAAAGAATGATCAAAATAAATAAAAAAATTTCGATGAAAGAAAAGAAAAAAACTTTTAAACAATAAGATTGAAAAAAAATTCATCATGTATAAGGCATGAACAAAAGTAAAACATGATAGAATTTTAATGACCAAAATTGAAAAAAAAAACATTAACAAAATAAGAACTAAAACAAAAAATATTTTTTCCTAAAAGCTAAAAAAAAAAATTAGAATAATGAAACTATATTTAATTTTAGTATAGAATGAATAATAATCAAATATAATAAAAATTTAATTGTCAAAATAAAAGAAAAATCACAAAAAAAAAAAATCAAAACATAACAAAATTTTTTACTAAAAAGAAAAAATAGTTCCTTGTAGGGACAAAATCAAATATAATGAAAATTTAATGATCAAAATAAAAAAATACAAAATAGGGACTAAAAAAATAAAATTTTACTCAATTTAATGGCAAAAAAAAAAAAAAAATCACAAAACAAGAATTATAGTAGAAAGAAAAGTTTAACTAAAACCCAAAAAACAAAAAATTATTTAGGATAATAAACTTTATTTAGTTTTAGTATAGTAAGTATAAATTAATGATTAAAATAAAAACACATCACAAAATAAGAACTAAAAAAGAATATAAATTTTTACTAAAAGCCAATAAAAAATATTTATTATTGAGATAGAAATAAAATATAATAAAATTTTAATATTTATTATTAGGATAAAAATAAAAAATAATAAATATTTAATGGCCAAAATAAAAAAATATTACAAAATAAGAATCAAAATAAAACAATTTCCTAAAAGCTTGGCTAAGCAACCAGAGAAAAAAGGAGGAGGCCAACGGTGATATAATAAATTTTTAATGATCAAAAGAAAAAAATAAAAATAAAAATCAAAATAATAAAATTTTAATATTTATTATTAGAACAAAAATCAAATATAATAAATTTTTAATTTCTAAAATAAAAAATTATTACAAAATAGGGATCAAAATAAAAAATTTCCTAAAAACTTACTTAAGTAACAGGGAAAAAAAAAGAAGGGTAAACAGTGATATAATAAATTTTTAATAAGCAAAATAAAAAAATTTACAAAACAGGACGAAAATAAAAAAAATCCCCTACGGTGAACGAGAGCCGAACCCGTGTAGGCTTCTGGTACTGGAATTACCGTAACCAGTGATAGAAGGCAATTACCGTAACCAGTGATAGAAGGCAATTTCCGTAAACAGTGATAGAAGGTAATCACCGTAACCGTTGGACCGCGAACATTTTCTGATAAATAAATAAATAAATATAAGAAGGCAAAACCCCACTTATTTTAGATGTACTGTCAAACCACCGTTATGATAGAAAGTTTGCGGGTAAACCGACCATCCATGAACCAGGCCTCCGTCTCCCGATAGTTTATACTTGTACTCATACACGAGCACAATAAAAGCCAACGGCACGAGAAAGAGCGAGAGAACTTGATTATTCGAAAGAAGAAAACCTAGATTTTCTTCCACTCAGGCAAGTATAAATTATTTATTATTAATTCTCACTTCTCTTTAAATGCCCGATTAAATTCTTCGCCGTCCGAGATGGAACTTGTGTGGTTTTCCTTTTCTTCTCGCCCTTTGACTATCAAACGCCTCTATTGATTTCAATTATGCCAATGTCGGCACTTTTGGGTTTAATTGTATATTTTTAACTGGATTTCCGCTATTTGCTTTTGCAGTCAAGCTCACTAGATTTTTTTTTTAATGTTATGATTTTCGTATCTGTTTCAATTGGATTAAATTAGGGTTCAAGAATTATAAAAAAACCTAATTTGTACCTTTTGGCGCGCAATAAATGAATTTATTTGTGATTTCTTGTTCTAGGGCATGGCTTCGTCGGAAGACGAGGCGGATACTCTGCCGGAGTCTGTGTCAACCTATCATTTTGTAGATGATAAAGATGAGCCAATTTCATTCTCTAAGTTACCAATTCGATGGAGTGAAAGCAAAAGTGTTGATGATGGGAAGAAAAATTACAAGATTTTCTTGAAAGGGAGTGTGGACAATGGGCTCCGCACCATATACAAGCAAGTCATTGCGTGGAAGTTTGATTTGTCCAATACAGCGCCGCAGATATCGGTCCTTACTAAGGAGAAATGTTGGATGGAACTCGAAAAACCAAGGAAGAGCTATGCGATAATTATTAGGACGGTACTGGTTACTGTGCATTGCCTTCATTTTGCAAGGGTGAACCCAGAAGTATCCGGGAAATCTGTGTGGGAGTACTTGTCAAAAACTTTCAGGTACTTGAGACTTCATGTGTTTTTCTTTTGCTTCTGTTCGGCTTGATTTTGTGTCGGGGGCGTTGACTGTCACTGTTAAATTTGTAGCTTGTATGAGCGCAGACCTTCTCTGAACGATTTGGTGGAACACATGAATTTAATTGCTGAAGCTGTTAAAAGAGAAAACTCCTTAGCAAAATGCAAGGTCTGTGTTAACTAAACACCCTTTTGCTTTCTTATTATAAGCCTTCTTTTGTGCTTTAAAACACGGTAAAAATATTTTCTGCTCATACATGTCTTGACTCTTAAAAGAGTAACGGACATATGGGACTATTCTTTGATATGTAAAGCTGACAGAATGGTCTTGAGAGTTTAAATTTTAATCCAGTCCCTTCGGGTAATAATTACCCTTGCTTTTGGGAAAAGTTTTTCTTTGTGAGAAATTCCCACTCCCTTTAAATGCCCTAAACAAAAGTAATCACTCCCCCTACCTGTAAACCATATTCCCCCTAAAATTCTTCATTGGGTTTCCGTAGGTATTGCTGCAAGTTCCTTGATGAATCATATTCAATAACATTTTATGCTGATGACCTGGGATTTTTTTTGAGAGTAGCTCACTTTAAATGGTGTGAGTTTGTTTTTCTCAGACTTGGCAGACCCAAGGTAGTTGTGTGAATACAACTGGTTACTAGTATGGGTTTGAAATCCGTGTTTGACTGTCAGCTTTAAATTCTGACCGCCTAGTAACAAAACAACATGAATTACTGCATTAAATAATTTTTATCCTTCGAAACTACTGTTATTGATTTTCACGAGAGGGAGAGGATAGCTGGTGTATCTTGTCCCAGGAGAGAAGATGGGGAGAGAGGGCAAAGTATGGAAGAAAAGTAACCTGATCATGTCAACTTCTTCTGATCTCCAATATCATTCCTTCATTTGGTCAAACTTTTTCTTCTTTTCCAATCCTGCCAAGCCTCTTTTTAAGATGGTGATGCAGACAACAAAGGAAGCAAAGCTTGTATCTTTTTGTAGACAAGGGTGTTTTTGTAATTTTTGAAAAATCTGAAAATTTGTCAAAATCTAGGTTTTATTTTCTATTTAGGAATTAGTTCTAAGGAGTAACTGGCTTTATTAGGTTTTTCTAATTCTACGTAGACTTAGTATTTTCTTATTTAGGAATCTAAGTCCTTAATGGATTTGGACTGCTAGAACTCTATAAATAAGCATGAAGTCTTTCAATATTTTCAACGATAGTTTATGAATAAAACTCCAGCCATGTGCTTTTGATTGTGTGAATCTCCCTTAGGTGTGACTCCTAGGAACCCTAGGTGTAAATATTAGGTTTTTCTATCTTCTAGGTTTGACTTCTGGAAACCTGATTAGTGTGACTAATGGTTCTACAATTCCCAGCAGCAATCCTCCTCAATACAGGTCTAAACAGCCTTAAAGAGCCTCTAAACTCAGATCCAGAACAACCCCCCTTCAGATGGATGGACAACTGTTAGCTTGGAGTTTGTTCTCTTTTTAAAATAACAGACATTGGAAATCTTACTCTCAAATCTGTATTATAAATAACTTTAGAGCAGCACAGGAAAAGTATCCTGGACTTGAAAGTCTCATCTGTATTTGGATCATTTCTGGACCATTTTGTTAATATAAAGTATGTTGTTACCAGAACACTCACACCAGAATATAAGGAGTGTAAGAGGAGAAAGAAGGAAGTATGCTAGGCAGCTTCCTTCAAATAATTTTAGTGGAAAAATATTAATTAAATGACTATTGCTTTCATTCTGTGACACAAAATAAATGCTGATTTGACCCTAAATTCTACTTCAGACATGGCTTGAAATTATCATGTCATGGTTTCACTACAAACTGCTTATGGGCATGCAATAGTAACCCATGTTTGCACAACCCATAGCTAGACCCTTATTTCTACATCAATCTGAATGGTGACTTGCTTTTCATACAGAATTGTCTACAATTGGGCACCAAATACTTGTATGAATCACTTGTTCGTTAGGTGCTTTAGCTTAACATGTCAATTTTAGTTGTGCATGTTTATCCACATTCCTGGACACATATTCATGCAAAAATAGAAGGAAGTGACTTAAAGATTTTTTATAATGGTGTTCTTGTGATAACTCAATTGGTATGCCTGTGGCATTATTTGTTTATTTTCTTTTAATTGTATTACTTGATCTGCTTGTAAATTTGACCTCTTTATTAACTCTCATGGGACTAAGAAATGGTAGGTTATGGCACTCTTTTGGCATTTAACTGGAAGTAATTGATGATATGCTTAAGGATCATATGAATTAGGAATAATAGCATGCATTATCTATCTATTTGTTTGTTTTGGTGTATTTATTTGAATTGTTTTTGTCTTCCCAGCATTAGTCTATGCCATTGTCTTATTACTATATGAAACTAGTATTTTTGTGGAGCTCTGAGAAACCATTTCCACATCAGAAGATTCATTTTTTTCCTTGTTTTTGAAGTTTTGCAGTTACTGCTTAGCTAAGAATAATGCTTTTGCAGATTGCATTTTTAAGCTGATAAAAATCAGCTCATTATGAAAGTGATAATTAAAGGGGATTTCCTGATCCATTATTAGTCAGAAGCTGGAGTTTGTACCCTTTGAAATCATCTATTTCTGTTATTAATCAGTTGATGCTGGCATGGTAACAGAGTTTTGTTTTTGGGCAGTATCCTTGATTGGAAAACTTAGGTGAATATTAGCAAAAAGTGCAACTCTTCAATTAGGAACTAGACATCAGGCCTGCATTTTCGCATGGAGACTTTTTGTGCTTTGTTTTTGACCTTTTTGGTGCAGCCCTTCCCAAATAAATCTTTTTTAAAGTTGTTATTACATAGTTTTAAATAATTGCCGTTATACATGGCATAACCTCAATTCATATAAATAATGGCATTATATAATGATGATGGCCCTTATTGCCATTATTTGGTGAATAATGACCTTTATATTATTACTTCAAAAAAAAAAAAATTGATTCTTTGTTTTAGAATAAATTTATTAACCGCTACTAATGCATTCATGACATTGCTGTTGTGACTGTTATTTTATTATTGTGACAAGCTGCGACTTGCAATCATGATTGCGATCGTTTTTACAATCAGATTCACAATTTAAAATTGTGGGTTGGACTGGCTGGTGGCAGTGGAGGAATTTTGGACTTTTTGGAGGAGGGGGTTTATGATTTGAGGGTTTTGGAAGTGTTTAAAAAAAGGATGGATATATATTAAATGAGAGAGAGCAATGGTTGAGAGGAGAAAAGGGGTGAATTTGTGAATGAACAAAGGAATAAATTGACGTCTAACTCATTCATTATTGCTCTGAAGTCTAGAAACCTATTGTCTTCCATTTAAATTTTTACACAAGTACAATGAGTCAGTCAAGAAAATGAGAGATTCTATATTATTTAGCTGGATTTATCGATGTGAATGCCTTGGCTTTATTCAATTGATCACAAATTTAATTACTGCAAACAAATGGCATTTATAACAAAGCTTACATGGATCAAAAATAAACATACAGCTACTATTTGTCCTCAATTTTCATTGTAAAAGAAGAAATTGGGGTATTTGTTGCCTCTTAACTACATTGTTGCTTTTATGGTGGATCTTTTATATCTTTACAGTTTCTAAACCCTGTTTTATGTGAAGGGACATTATTCCATTTTCTTTTTCTTCCCAAAAGCTTGTTCCATAAGAAATTTACAACATGATTATTGATTCTCTCATTATTTTATCTATTAGAGAATAATATAAAACCATTCTTGGGGCCTCGCGTAAAAGCTTAAGCTTGTGGGTTGTGATGGCTCTTTGACATGGTATTAGACCCTTGATGATCAAATGGTTGCGAGTTCGAATCTTACTACCCTCATTTCTCTTCTAATTAATTAAGCACAAGGTAGTGTGAGTTTGTGCAAGTTTCAAGTTCAAAGGTTTTTTGCTTGAGGGGGTGTGTTAGAGAATAATATAAAACTATTCTTGTGGCCTCACCTAATAACTTAAGCTTTTGGGTTGAGATGGTTCTTTGACTCTTATCTTTTCTTATGTTCTATTCTCTATGTACCATGAAGGTGTCGTGTTCCCTTTATGTTCTCATCGATTAAGAGGAACTAGCTTTTGGAGGATGTAAAACAGTTTTTGGCCACCACCCATACCAAATTTGCCTTAATTTATTTGTTTTGTGCTCTTACTTTGTCTTTCTCCTTCTCTTGTATTCTATAATTTGCTATATTCGACCTTTTGATTTACTATCTGCTTGTGGTGAGTATTATAAGGGAGCCTGAAAGATGTCTTAAAACTTGATTCAATGGCATTGCTTATTGGTTGAAGTGAGGGAAACCACTTTTCTTGATGTTTTATTTTAACCCTTTCTGCTTTAACTTTTCTTGCGTTTTTCTAATCTTTGTGAACATGTTCCCTAAATGAGCAGTTCTTACTCAATGTTCTTGGGGAGAAGTCAAGGGAAAAAATGCTGTCTGATGAGGTTATCCTTTGTGCACCTGTTTACTTTGTTCTTTCTAATTGTTGCTATCAATGCTCTTCCTTCCTATTGTGTTCTCTTCAAAAAATTGTGTTGTTTTGAGCAAGTAGTTCATTATTTTTCAGGATGTTCAAGCTGCAGCGATGTCTGCATTCATAGTTGATGATGTAGAAGATGATAACTTTGAAGATTTTGAAGAAGATGAATCCAACGATGAAGACAAACTGTTTGATTCTGTTTGTGCATTCTGTGATAATGGCGGCAATCTTTTATGGTATGCATTAATTCTTGGTTGCTCTCTTGAGTTAGGTTGATGATTTTATCAGCAACTATTTTGTTCTTCCTTTTTTTTTCCCTCTATGTTGCTTTCATGAATGTTTCCCATGCATGATATACAGTAACTTTTGGCATTTCTTTTAAGTTTAATTTGGTTTTCCTTTTTAATAAAACATTTCATTGTTTGACCTTGTTATCACAATGATCATTGTTGTAGCAATTCTTGCCATGTCTTGATACAAAGGATAATTTGTTTCTGTTGTTGAAATTTTAATGAGGCTAGGTATATTCTTTGTTCTTTAAGCTAACACAACAATCATGATGGTTTATGGGTTAGCAAAATTTTTTTGCTCCTTTGTTAATATGCCTTAGTCCAAAATGCCTCTTGATAATTACCGTTTTGGTTTAAAAGTACGAGAACTAAAGCTTAACCACACTAAAATCTCAAGGGCATAAAAATAAATAAACCTGATAGATAATACTTTGCTATGCGGCACCACTGTTATGAGAATTTCTCTTTCACGATCGATCAAGAGATCTGTGATGATGGATGACCTCTTACTGTCACAAAGTTTGTTGTAAAATCTTTTTTACCAACTGTTAGCTATCTCATCAAGGAAGCAACTCCTATGATCTTTTGTGAATTGGTACTCTTTAGCATAATTGAATTCACATAGTGTTTTTAACAATCCTGCTTACATGAAGAAAGGGAGGGATGGAGGGAAGGAAGAGAGATTACCCCTGATTTGTGTTATGCAACCATTGGATCAAAAAAGAAAGGTTGGTGTAACAACAATTTAGGTTACAGGATTGATATGCTAAATATTATCAAAATATTTCAATTACAGTTCTTAGTTGTCTCTGTTTTATGATGTTAAAATAATGATTTTTTTTTCAGTTTTTAACAAAACTATATATATATATATATATATTTTGTTAATTGTTTTACAAAAAGGGGATTTGAATTTACAACCTACTATGCAGACAAGAGGTGTATTTATCTGGCTATGCCTCAACCACATCTTATCGTTAATGAATACTACTATGTACAAAAATTTAAACCTTGACAATTCCAAGGGTGTGGTCAGAATAACAAGTTTGGAGCGAATAATCTCATTATTGGTGTTAATTTACTTTTCTGTATCCATGGCTTTCTTGTTCATCATATCATATTAATGATTCCTCTGCCTCAATGTTTTCAGTCGTATTACCTATGGTTTAGAATGGTATGTATTATCATAATCCTATCCAATCATTTTTTTATTTTGTCTTTCTCTCGATTTACTGTATAAAAGGCTTACAGCATACCCAATACAGTTCTTAACATATACAAGGAAGCTTGATTATGTTGTTTTATTAATGTGAAGTACTATTTTATTTTAGATGAATCTTTATCTTCTCTCTTAAAGAGGTTAATGTGCTGCCTGCTTTTTATATAGAACTGATGCTTGGATGAATTAATTTGAATATCTATGCTTGTTTGGTTAACTTGGTGCTGTTTTGTGTTAGCATCATCTCTGATCTCTAATATCAGTTGCACATTTGATTTCCAACACTATACAGTTGTGAAGGGAGTTGCTTGAGGTCGTTTCATGCAACTGTAGAGGCTGGTGAAGAATCTGTTTGCGAGTCTCTTGGCTTTACTAATAGGGAAGTTGAAGTATGCAACCATTACTTATTTGCTTTGTAAATCTGGTTTTTATTGTTTTCTTGTCTGGTGATTGTTTTTTGTATCTTGTAGCATTGATGTATTTTCTCTTTGGGCAGGCAATGAAGAGTTTTTTCTGTAAGAATTGCAAATATAAGCAGCATCAATGCTTTGCTTGTGGAAAGTTAGGTTCCTCTGATAAATTTTCTGGTGCTGAGGTATGAATTTACTGCAAGAGAATGGACGAGTCTCCTATTTCATATGTTCATCATATTATTTTCTGTTGCTGTGTGCTGTGTGATTTACTGTAGCAAGTTCTGTGTTGACAAAATAATATTGTTTTCTGACTATATTTTAACAACCAGGGTTTCTTGGCCCATTTTGTTTTCTTTTTGATGATATGGAGTTTTGAAGGATCTCTTTCCCTCGTTCCCATTTTTAGAGGTGAATTCAACTAGCATTATGACCTAAATTTTTTTCTGGATACTATATCCTTAATGATTCATGCTCAATAATCCTAACCCTTACCTTGCACTATCTTTATACCTGTTCTTTCTTATCTATTATGTCACCCTGCATGTTTTCATAGAGGCAGGAAGCTTAATGATAAAATCTTGGTTTAGTCTGGTCTTGTCCAATATCTTTTCATAGGGCTGCCATTTCATGCAGCCCTTTTGTTGGGTTGCTGGGAGAGGGGAAAGCGGGCCAAAGATTTTAATTGATGTTCTTAGCTTGTTCTCTTTGCTGGTTGGCTTAACTGCTGCAGCTCTCCGTTTTTTGGTGTGTCATCCACTGCATCTTTACTGTCCAGGTTATAAAATGAACCAATCTACTCTAGCTTCATTCAAGTTCAAATACTCATTCGATCTCCTTTCTTTTAAGCCAAACAAGCCAAATCTAAAGCTTGACAACTTTAATGAACAAACTTGATCCATTCAATACTTGGCTAGAAATGTTCATAAATGCAGTATTTTTCTTTTGAATAATTGATTTGTAAATATGATTAGATTTTGTGTAAATAATAACTGTAAATTAGACATAGATTAATCATCAACTTGGTTTTTGAAATCTAAATCAATACAAGCATGCATTACCGAGGAAAAAAAAGCATTATTAATGAGTTTTGAAATTGTTCACATCTATTTGAGCTTTTGTGTTTGTGATAAGCTCAAGCTTGTTTGAAACCCCAAAACTTTCTTCTTCTTTTTTTTTTTTTTTACTTATTTTGTTTTTTGAAGCCAATATTGTGTTGTGATATTTAAGTTTGAGCTATATTATTACAATAACCAAGCTTGAAATCATGGCTCACAGTTTCACTTGACTTGATTTTGGCTCTTCAGCTGGTTATGCTAAATTTTTGGATTATCATCTCATGCTCTATTTATTCATACACTGCTAGTTTTTCCAATCACATCATTTGAATTCTTCTCTTCCTTTGTTTTGCATATGTAAATTTTCAACTTCCAGATTTTGCAATTTATATTTGGATTTGGGTAAGCAAATTCACTTAACACCTAAGGCACACAATAATGTGTGCATTGAGATTACTGCTTTCCATTTGTGAGACTATTTAGAGTGGGTTTGAAGAAGAGTGCCACTGGGCTTTCAAAATCATGTTCTTTTTTCCTTAGATCTCTCCTGAGCTTGCCTAAACTCTATTGTTTTTTTGCCCATCTCTCTCATACAAATATTTCCATTGTTTTTTCCTGCCATAGAATTATCATTTTCTTACATTTTTCAGATTTTCCTTCAATTTTAGTAACAACATGCAAATTGAGAAAATATAAAAAAGAAACAAGACAAAAAAGGTAAAAGAGTGTATATTCTTGAAAGGATAATATAGCACCTAAAATTTGATTTTCTTGAAGGGATGTTTGACTTGTTCCTCTGTAATGTTCAGTAGCAATATACTCCAAATTTGAGACTTTCACTTGCTTCACATCCTATCACTTTGTTTTGTCTGGTAGCAAATCTGATTTGTTGGCATCTTTCCTACATGATGATTCTTAGGTCAAAACCTTCCTTCCAAGTTCTTAAGTGCTTTTTTCTTAATCAAACTGTTGCATGCCCTTGTATATTCTAGAGTGTTGAAATTGGATTTTGTGGTTATGGTTTCTGTCAATATCTTGGGATGTCAGTACCATGTTGTGAGATGTTTAAGAATATTGTTCCAGGTTTCTCTCTAATAATGACAGGTTTCTGCATTTATAGTGCAAACTTGCTCAATCAATTACTTGTCAGGTCTTTCGATGCGCTAATGCAACCTGTGGCTATTTTTATCACCCACATTGTGTTTCGACATTGATCCATCGAGAGGATGAAGTTGCTGCTGAGGAACTTCAGAAAAGATTGCTGCTGGGGAGAGTTTTGCATGCCCCATTCATAAGTGCTGCATTTGTAATCAAGTAGATAATAAGAAGAAAAATGATTTGCAGTTTGCTGTGTGCAGGCGGTGTCCTACATCATACCACCTGAAATGCCTGCCAAAGTAGTTTCTGGTTTTCTTTATTGCTTTTCATTCTTGCGTACCAGTATAAATATGCTTGTCTGATGCGATATTCAAATTGCTGTTACCAGAGAGATTGTTTTTGAAAATGAAGCAGATGAAGGTACTATAGCAAGGGCTTGGGAGAATCTATTACCCAACTCTATACTGATATATTGCTTGTAAGTGTTGTTGTTTAGCTGCTCTCTCTATCTCTAAATACACACAAGCCATATACTTTTTGGCATTAATTTGTTAAATGGGTGTTTCCCTTATTTGTTTCTTTTTGTTCTGGACAAGGAAACATGAGATAATTGAAGAAATTGGAACTCCAATAAGAGATCACATAAGGTTCCCTGTTGTTGGAGAAAAGAAGACTGCTGCTGAAGTACAGAAAAGAAGAATTGCATCCGGGCTTCCTGCAAATGAAGAGGAAGGTTTATCAAAGAAAAGGAGGCTTAACTCAGAAAAATCATTTTCAGGAAAAAATCTTACTAAAGCATCCAAAGAGATGTCTTCTGCTGCAAAAAAGGTTAAAATTACCAATGGAAGTGAAAAAATATCATCTGAATCAAATTCATTGAAGAATATGAGAACAAATGATGGATCCAGAAATTCCTTGAGGGAAAATACAAAGTCTGGAAAAGCAATGCCCAGGAAGCCAGATATTTCTGGCCATGAACTTAATAAATCTTTTGGTGTTAAGTCTGCTCCAAAGAAGTTAACCAGTGAGCTGCCTTCATTGGATGCTGATGCACAAAATAGGTGACTTTTTAAATTTTCCAATTTGGAATAGTTTCAACCTTCATATTTTTGTTTGAACCCTCTCATGTCTCTGTTCTTTTCTTCAAGAGAATTATGATAATTCAAAGTTACAGTTTTTATGTTAAACTATGTCTCAGATTTGAATTCTATGCAGGCTTTTAGCTTTAATAAAAGAGGCTGCATCTTCAATAACCTTGGAAGAGGTTATAAAAAAGCATGAAGTTCCATCTACTCATGCGAACTCCTCAAAAAATGTTGTGGACAAGAACATTACATTGGGAAAGGTGGAGGTTACAGTTGAGGTATCCGTTGTCACCCTCTAATCAACAATCCTTATAATTAATAATTTCATCTATTGTAGGATTCTCTTTTCCATTGAAGTTCCAGTAATTTTACCTTTCTGTTTTCTTCACCACAATTAATCATACTTTAACTACTCCATCCAGGCTGTTAGGACAGCTTTAAAAAAGCTGGAAGAAAGTTCCAGCATTGAATATGCTAAAGCTGTTTGTGAACCAGGAATTCTGAACCAGGTGTTTAAATGGAAGGTAGTTGTCCATTCTCATCCTGCTGTCGTTGTATACAGTGAGCATTATTTCCCTGCATTAAAATTTGTATGATTTTAGGGTGTGAATTTTGCACTCATTGTCATTTCAGTGATGCTACATTTAGAGAAATTCTATCATTGAAGATCCCTAGTGAAGCATGTTTTTTTCCTGAACGAAATGAAAATGGAAATGCTTGGAATATTGGAGACTGTTTTGAATGTGTTTTAACAATGATGTACTTGATGTTTTATTAACTTGTTGATTGATGTCTCTAGAACAAGCTGAAAGTGTATCTTGCACCATTTCTATATGGCATGCGCTATACATCCTTTGGTCGCCACTTTACAAAAGTAGAGAAACTTATGGAGGTAATTTTTTTTTCTTTCTTCTTCCTTTGCCTTATAGTGTGCACTGATTTCGATTCTTATTTTTAACTTGTCTACGCCAAGTTACACCATGCCCAGAGATTTTAAACCAAATATTTTTGTAAATACCAGTTGGCATTACAGTTTGTAGTATTCATGTGTGTAATAAAGAATAAAATTCTGGCTCAACATTATTCTTGTACGGTGATCATGTGAAGCTGCTAAAAGATGTGTCGTAAAACTTTCCACCATGTATGTTGAGGTAATGTACCAGCTTCAGACAATATGAACGAAATGACCCTTAAAAGCCAAACAGATTGTGACTGTTTCATGGTTGAGTTGGGTAATGAATCCTTACACAAATCCCCTTACAAATTTGAACCTTGAGTGGTGGCCAAATTATGCTGGGCATAAAGGTCTGCATCGCTTGCCCTTGATATTAACTTGGCCATGCTCATAATGCAGACAACAAGAAGTTTCATGGTGCAAGTTTAAAGACTAAAGGAATCTATCTTTGTTAATATCCTGGTTGTTAGAATCTTACGATTTGTCTCGATTCACATACATGACAATGTGAATTGGGGGATTAATCACAGCTGTATATGAATTTTGTCATTCAGTCACGATTTGGTTCAATACAATTCATTGAATTTTAGGAGTCAACTCAAATGGCAAAATGAAAGTAAAATTCATAATTTTAAAAGATGGTAAGAATATAAATGTTGAGTGTTGAGAGGTTATCAATGACCAACATATAAACAATTTTCTCAGATAAATTTCTAATTGAAACTAAAATGAATTTTAAATTAAATTTTCTCAAAGAAAGAAATGGGTGAAAGAAAGTAAGAATGCCAAAGGCAACAAGAATGACAAAGTTGATATCAACATTGGGAAGATTATTACTTTTTATTAAAACCAGGAGATCTAGTAGTTTTAACTAGTTGGAAGGTAGCTTTTAGATGTATTATAAGTTATTGAGTCTGCAGGATGATCCAGTCCCAATGAACAATAAGTTCAATTTTGAGACTTTGGGGTCAGTCAATGATTAAGAACTAATAAATTAAATGAATTGATGCACATTTCGTTCATTTAGCAAATGATCATTTTTCCTTTATTTTAGATACATGTAGTATGCCATTTATCTTTTATAATTCTTCGATTCTTGATCTCAAAATGGGGTGTCCGATTCATGAGTCGAATCTTGGTTTGACAGCCATGGTTAATGTCTACTATTTACCCAAGTCCTCACCAGCATAAATTTTTGTAGAGTTCTGTCTATATATTGGTTTGTAAAATACTTTTAGTTATACAATTTCTCACAGGTTTGGGTTTTCTTGGAGGTGTATATGAGTTGGTAAAATACTACAAGATTGAATGATGCAGTTCTCTTACCCTAAAGTTTTGTTGCGCTAGGACATTGCATGTGATTCCTGGGAATTTTAATCTTTTATTCTCAATGTAATTCTGACCTCAGTTACTCTTATTTATCCTTCCATCAAATTCCCAAACATTTTATCTTAGAAACCCTAAACTCATCCTTCAATTAATTTGCACACACGCAACAACACAGAATGGCCCCAATCTATTTGCCTTTGCTCTTTCACTCTAAGCACATTCTTCCTTAATATCTTTACCATATTGATATATTTCCTTCCCCTTTTCCAACTTAAGCATCCACCATGTCTGCAGATGAGTTCTTCAGCTAATGGGTCCGTGATATTAGAGTTGCATGCCCTGGGAAAATGGTGGTGGAGAAGTGAGCATAGAATGACCAACGGATATTTGCTTGATTATTTGAAAAATGTTGGCCATTTTTGAGATAGTCAGCAGACTTAACTAGCCTTCTCTCTGGCTAACTAAATTCAGTATTGACTCTGTTTAATTCTAGAATGTTGGGCAATGAGAAGGGAATTCTTTGTAAGCAGAATCATAATTAATGACTGGAGGAGAAAAGGAAAAGATAAATATTCCCTTAGATTTTCACTGTGTTTGATTATGGCTTATCAAAAAAAATTAAGGACAGCACTTTGCAGCATGGGGTATAACTGTGTGCACATACATGCATCAAATATATACTGCTTTATGCAATTCATAATTTCAAATGTTTGGAAAATGAAATGCATACTGCTTTGATTGTTGTGCTTCTATCACATGAAGAATTCTAAAGTCAGATTCTGAATGTGCAGATTGCTGATATTCTCCACTGGTATGTAGAAAATGGTGATATGGTAAGAAATTAAGCACATGTTGCTTGGAATATTTTGTTTTGTTGGTATTGAATATGCTTCAAATTGAAATTGATCATCAAATGTGCATATCTATATTTTTGTGTAATTCTATATATATTTTCTGTTTGAGCTTCCCATTTCTTCTTCCATCTTGAATTTATCTTAAAGAAAAATTCTCTGTCTATCTTCTAGAGTTGTTTTAATCCTATATCTTACTAAGTTCATCCGAAGATTTGATAACTATTTTTTCAATCTGCATACTGTTGATAAATATAGTTTCACTCTTTCCTGATTTCATCATGGCTCTTGTAAAGTTTCTATTATAGATATTCAATGCATCTTCCTTTTTTATGCAGGACAGCTATGAGGGCTGTTCTGGATCTGACTTTGGAGGCTGTTTAGGGCTGTATTGGTATTAAAGTGGAATTGTGCTGGGAATTGTATAGAACTATTAGAGTTACACTGATATGGTTTCTAGGAGTCACACCTAGAGGATAGAAAAACCTAAGCTTCACACAGAGGGTTCTTAGGAGTCACACCTAAGGGAGATTGAGTCACACAATCAAAAGCAAATTGCTGGAATTTTATTCATAAACTGCCAATGAAAATTTTGGAAGACTACATACTTATTTATAGAGTTCCAGTAGTCTAAATCTAATGAGGACTTAGATTCTTAAATAAGAAAATACAAAGTCTGTGTAGAATAGGAAAAACATAATAACGTATTAATTACTTCTTAGGACTAATAAAATACTAAATAGAAAATAAAACCTGGAATTAGACAAATTTCTAGATTTTCTAGAAACTACAGAAATACCCTTGTCTGTAAAAAGATACAAGTTTGCTTCTTTTGTTGTCTGCATCACTTCTGCCATCTTCTCATGGGACCAAAGAAAATAGGTTGATTCATGGTTTTCTAATCTTTTTCACTGTATCTTTCTTTGAGTTCAGGTAATATTATTTGGTTTCCTGCACATGCATTTTGTTTTTGTATTATATTTCCAGTGGAATACTGTAACTTTTCACATAATTTTGTGTAGATGATGCTCAAGGGTGTTTTGGCAACTACTGATAACTGTTAGCTCCTGTGGACAGATTGTCGACTTCTGCTGTGGTGCTAATGATTTCAGTTGCCTTATGAAAAAGAAGCTTGAAGAGACTGGGAAGAAGTGCTCATACAAAAACTATGATGTTATTCAGCCAAAGGTATCTGTTACCCATCTATAAGAAATTATTATGCCTTAATCTGATGAATTAGTTAATGCATTTCTATGTGTGGGGAGTAGTAGGTATGTAGGATATGACCATACAAAAGGCAACCCCTAGTTGACTGCAGCATAAATTTGGCACTGTTTGATGTAGTCTTTTAGAAATGACTCTCTGTAAGAATGTTGTTTGAAAATTTGAAAACTTGCAAACTCAAGTTATTTAGAAGGGTTATTTAGGACAAAGGGAGGGGGGCTATAAATTTACCTATATATATATTTTCAATATCTCAACCGTGCCCCTCAATTATATTTGATCATCTGTGTATTGGCATTGGTTTTATAATTTTTTTAAAATCATTTGCTATTTATTATTTTTTAAAAAAATTCATTTGTTATACTTATACGGGTCGGACCTTAGGGAGTGTCTTGGGAATGTTTAACTTAATTTGTGTTATATTTTATGATGTTTTTAACAGAAGTATGCATTAGAGAATGGAGGTAGGTCCAATTTTATGATAGCTTCATTTTTCTTTTTTAGTAGAATGATCGAAAATCTTAAAAATATATAAGGGTATATTCATAGGTCTCCGGACTCCCACTCCCAAAAAAAAAAAAAACAAATGTGTGGTTTATTGATTTATTATGTTTGTGAGGTTAAATTTTGATGGCAGTTTACAGGCTGCAGCTTTGCTGCTGAACACAGTTGACATAGTGGGGTTTAAGAGTGGTTAGGTTCAAGGAAAGCAAGAAACTAAGAACCAGGTTTTGTGATCAACTGGCTGTGAATAGTGATATGAATGGTGGCAAGCAGTCTTTGAATAAAAAAAAAAACCATTAAGAAGGGAAATTAATCACATACTAACAAAATCCCTACCAAGAAATCACTTTCAAATCAGCAAACTGATCAACTAAGAGTTTGTGGCGATCTCATCAATTCTTGTGGTCTACTGAACTTTCTTTTAAGCCATTTTGTTAAAGATTTCAATTTTGAAACTAGTGAATACTAATATGAACTAGTTAAGTAAAAATAGAACTCAGTGTAAGAGTGATTAGACCATAATTAAGGAAGGGGTGCAATTCTTGGATATCAGGCAGTTTTATTCTTATCTTCTGACAGTTGAGGTTCACAAATGGACCTTGATTGGAAGGGAAATAAATGTGGTATTCAAAGTGCTACCTTTTATTCCTGGCATCATTCAATAACTTAATGTGTTGGAAGCTGGAACATTGGAGGGCTTGCTGTTTTGCATTTAGTCTTACTTGTTCCAATATTCTATGGAAATAAATTGCTGATAACAAGAACTTGTCTTTGGTGCCTATTTTCTGCCAAATAATTTTGTTATCTGTCACTCAATGAAGTTGTTGTGGTTAAGTTAGTATATGAAGTTGTTGTGGTTAAGTTTGTTATACTAACTGTGATGCAGGACAGCTTTGGGGCTGTTCTCGATCTGAATTCAGGCTAGTTTGGGCTATGAATAGTAATTTTAGAGTTTGAGTTGATCTTTTGATGGTTAGTAGCTATAGGATTGATGGGGCTGGAATGTGTGGATGTTTGGAATATGGGATTTGAGTTGTTGAAAATTGTAGAAGCTATTAGAGTCACACTAGTAGGGTTTCTACGAGTCACACCTGGAGGATAGAAACTTAAGCTTCACACCTAGGGTTCTTAGAGTCACACCTAAGGGAAACCGAGTCACAATCAAAAGCAAAGTTGCTGAAATTTTCTTCACGCACTGATTCTTGAAATGCATAAGGTATCTTTATATAAAGTTGCTAGTACTCCAAAAAATACTTATTTTCCCATTCAGAATATCAAAAAACTAATAAAACCCAGGTTTAGACAATTTTCTTGCAAATCTGGAAGTTACATAACTAGCCTTGTCCACATAAAGACTTAAAATTTGCTTCTGCATCAAACTTTCAGTTTGCTATGCTGTCAAGCATTGGTGGTGGACTGTGTGCTTGCATCTATGTGCCTTCTCAAATTTTGATTGTTTTGATATCTTTGTTTTTTTACAATTTCTGACAGAATGACTTTAATTTTGAGAAGAGGGATTGGATGACTGTTCAGCCAGATGAGCTGCCAAAAAAGGGTTCGCAGTTGGTAGGAATGATTGTTCCCTGTTGAGTAATGAATAAGTAAACCTGGGTGGCAGAGTGTTAAATGAATGGTCTGATTGATACCTCTCTCTCTCTTTTTTTTTTTTTTTCCCGAGTAGATTATGGGACTGAATCCTCCTTTCGGAGTTAAAGCAGCCTTGGCTAACAAGTTCATTGACAAGGCTCTTCAGTTTAAACCCAAACTCCTCATTCTTATTGTACCACCGGAAACAGTTAGGTAAAGGCTTGCATTTATTGATCTCCATCTCTCTCTCTCTCTCTCTCATGATTTCTATTGTCTTTAATCAGGTTAGACAAAAAGAAGACTTCTTATGATCTAGTCTGGGAGGTTGATCACTTCTTGTCAGGGAAGGTATATGACATGCATTTTGCAGTTTCTTTCAGGATGAATTTGGATTTCCCATTTCATGGTGGCTTATTATTTTCATTTTCAGTCATTTTATTTGCCTGGATCTGTTGATGAGAATGACAAACAAATGGATCAGTGGAATGTAACTGCCCCACCTCTTTATCTTTGGAGCTGTCGAGAGTGGAGTGCAAAACACAAGGCAATAGCTCAAAAGCATGGTCATCTGTTCAGCCAACAGGAAAGATCAAATTTGGAAAAAAACCACTTTGAAACAGAAACCCCTGATCCTGTTAATGGGCAACATAGCAATGCTGGTGCATTAATATTGGCAGGTGATATTCCCTTGCAAAGTAGAAGGCCACAAGAATCTAATTGTGGAGTAGTGAATGATGGTCATGAAGGATGGCGGCCTTGCAATAACGGTGACAGAGAAAGCCAAAATAGTCATGGCCTTGGGACGAGCCATTGTAATGAGACCTCCAGGAAGAAAAGACAAGGTGAAAAAAAGGTTGAAAGAGGAATGGTCAAGAAATCGCTGGAGGGCAGACACAATGGTGGAAAGAAGCATTCTGTAAGTGATTCATACAATGGAGTGCATCATCCTTCTCCACCCAAATCTAGATCTGCTGAAAAGCCATCACCTGCTGACATCAGTGAAAATTGTTATAAGCATTTGGACCCTAGCTTGTCTGGTTCATATACGCAGCATCATGGAACACCTTATGGCGGGAGCTCAGCCAGCATTCAGGATGACATGAATAGAAGGCACAAGATGAATAATCACGACCCTTATTTACTCGAAATCCATGGATTGTCCAGTGGTGGCAATATGGAGGAGCAATTTACACGATGCATTAGAGATGGTACACTGGGTAGTGGCTATAGATCATATGTCAAAGAATTGGAGAGAGAGTCAGATAGACAGTCACAAGTTCGCCTTTATGGGCAAGATGCTGATTCTGTTGAAGGGAATTATCTAAGTGGGCGTGATCTGGGATATGGCCATATGGGACCAGCATTAGCTATACCTTATGGCCATTTAGGATCGGCACCAGAACCATCCTATATGATGAACATGTCGGCGATGCAGCGATATGCGCCCCGGCTTGATGAATTAAACCATACAAGGAGGAACAATTTGGGCCCCGAACCATCTCAGTTGAATAGAAGTGGTATTTATGATCCTAGAGCACCGGGAGCTGAATACCAGTTTGGCTCGATGGGCTTTGCTCCTGGTCATCATCCTTACTCACACCGCTCGGCAGGCTGGCTCAATGAGTAGATATATTGATGTAGGCCTTCTAAGCCTTTTCCTTGAAGTGATGATGTAGTGACTGCAAGCTGTGTGCTGTATACTGCACGCATCAAATTGTCAACCATTTCTTGGCTGTTGTCAACTCATTCGTAGTAATCATTTTGCTAGAAAGGCCAATTCCGAGAGATTAAAATGAAAGGGCTACTAGACGCTTTGTGCACTAAATCTCAGAACGCATGCATAGAATCCAAAGAAACCCTTAAACGAAAGTGTCAAGTAGCTTCCTAAGCAAATGATCGTCCATGTGCAATCTCCTGGCTATACGTATGCAGTCATTTACGAATTGTATTAACGCTGACCTCCTGTTTGGATGCACTAGCTCCACCTAGACAAGTTGGTCTCCGTGTTGGGTATCAGTTTCGGACAGATTAAGTAAAACAAGAAACAAACTTAAATGATGGACAAATGAACACTCACGAACATATTTAGTCCACAAGAAACGACAATCAAACTTAACTAGAAAGCTCCTAGTTGCGGACAGAATTTGTGTTTAACTCAAGGACAGATCTAGACTAATTTGGAAAGCTACTGTTCTAAATTTCTCACGAACTAATTTAAGAGCTACTGTTTTGAAGTTTTAAGAAACATTAAAGAAGTTACACAACTGATATTTTGCAACTGATAGCTCATGTCCAGAACAAACAAACTGTTTTTTTTTTTGGTCAAATGTACTGCTACTGTTCTGCAACAGACCTGATCCTTTTTTTTTTTAAAAAAAAATAATAATAATGTTCACAAGCTGGACAGATTTGCAGTAGCTAGGAAATATTAAAACAAATGCAAATTTTTGGAGGCTAGGACTTTAAGTGCAGTAGCTTTTGTGACAAATTCAAAAACTTAAGGAAGAACTACTGATGATCAAATATATGTGTATATGGCAGTAGCTAAATAGAAGACAAGTTATAGCTAATAATAAAAGGTGTGGTAGCTACACATTTGGTCAGTGGCGAGACTGAAACAAGTGAGAAGGAAATGAAACAAATTTTGACAGAAACAGAGAAAAATAGAAAATACCTTTTTTTTTTTTTTTTTTCGTTTCGTTTTTTGTTTGAACTGGACTGATAAATTATAAAAAAAAACTAAAAGAATTGAAGGTATAACTATTCATTTACTATAGTTACACACTCAAAGTCCCTATTTATGTTTTTTTTGCATTTTGGTCCCTCATTCTTTGAGAGATAAATTAATCAGTCCCTTTGATTTGAAAACTAATTTTTTTTATCCTTTTCACCATTTTACTTTTTTTATTATTTTTTTTAAGAAATAGAAAAAAAAATCTTTGGGGAATAAATTAATTAGTCCCCTTAGTTTGAAAACTATATATATATATATATATATATATTTGTCATTTTGGCCATTTTTGTTTATCGTACCTGTTTTTTTTTTTTTTTTTTTAACGTCGACCATTATTTCAAATTTAATGATATATATTAACTTCTTCACACATGCATCGTTCTCCATTCTCCAATAAATAGACTACTGCAACTTTCATTGCGTTGGAGGTAATATAATTTGTTAACTAATTTATCCTCTTTTCCAACTATTAAAGTATTTGTAGGACTATTATTATATTTAATAATTACAATATATTATCATTATATTTTACAAAAAAAATAGTAGTGGTTTTTTGTTTTGTTTTTTTTACATCCGGCCTTCTTTTTTCTTTTTTTTCAGTTTTTATATTTGTAGGACTATTATTATATTATCAAATATATTATTCGAGTCCTTATTTATTAGAAATATATATTTTTTTAAATAATAAAATTATTTATAGTTAATAATTATAATACATTATCATTATATTTTACAAAAAAATATCAAAAAAATATTATAAAATAGTTATTTGTATTTTGATTGTGAATATTGCATTTATGCAATGCTTTTTTGTTTTTTTTTCTTTTTTTTTTTTAACGTCTGGCCTCATTTTTTTTTTCATTTTCTTTATTTGTAAGACTATTATTATATGGTCAAATATATTATTTAGGTCTTTATTTATTAGAAATATTTTTTTAAATAATAAAATTATTTATAGTTAATAATTATAGTATATTATCATTATATTTTACAAAAAAAAGTCAAATTATTATTATAAAATTGTTATTTGTATTTTGATTGTAAATATTGTATTTATTATACAATATAATATTTTGTGATTATATTTATATTATGGTATAAATAATATATTGATATATTATTCTACGAATTTGAATATATATAAAAATTGATAACTATTTTAGTAATATAATATATTTGATAATTATACCATATAATTAAATTAATATTACATTGTATTAGTTAAATATTATTTTAAATATATTGGTATAATAATATAATATTTATCAATAAATGATTTATTTAAATATCGGATGACAGTTGTTCTCCTTCTATAGAAATAATTTTTTTTATATTTTTTTAATCATGAAATTAGGTGTGAAAATATAAAAAAAGATCGTTATTATTATTTTTTTTACTTATAGTTTGACAATAATAGAATATATATGATATTTTTTTAAAATTTTATTTTGAACATATGCATCTTATTACATTATTTTTATTATTTAAAATTTATTTCTTCAATTGTTTGTTTCTTATTAAAATTCTCATCGAATTAATTTTTCAATTTTATATGATTTTATTTGTTAATCAATTTGATTTTTTTATACATGGCTTTTGAAATAAAATTTTACAACCTAATTGTTTTATTTTTTAAAATATATTATTATAATTTATATGATTGATTATTTTTATGATTTTTCAATGAAAATGTCATTGTTGCATACATAAATTCGATGAGAAAGAGAGAGCTAGAAGTGTATTTCGGATGTTATAATTATTCTAACAAAAATTAAAAGAACTAGAGGTTTTCCTGTTCATTTACTATAGTGTTTTATTTATTTATTTTTTTTAGCGTTGGCTCGGCTCATTTTACTATAGTTTTTTTTTTTTTAGGGCTAGCTTGGAGAAACATTTTCATTTTTTTTTATAGGGCTAGCCTTGAGAAGCGGACTCAAGCGAGCCTGCACAAGTAGTCCCAACCGGGGTTTGCCTTTTTTTTCTTAATTTCCCTTTTAATAATTTATTTTTATATTTTTTTATCATGAAATTAGGTGTGAAAATATGAAAAAGATCATTTTTTTTTGCTTAACATTTTATGGTAATAGAATATATATATAATGTTTTTTAAAATTAAGTTTAAACATATATATCTGATTATATTATTTTTATTGTTTAAAATTTATTTCTTCAATTGTTTGTTTCTTATTAAAATTCTCATCGAATTAATTTTATATAATTTTATTTGTTAATAAATTTGATTTTTTATATATGGATTTTGAAATAAAAATTTTAAAACTTGATTGTTTTATTTTTTAAAAAATATATTATTATAATTTATATGATTGATTTTTTTTTTATGATTTTTAAATGAGAGTAGCATAATTGTATATATAAATTCGATAAAGGAGAGAGGCTAAAAGTGTGTTTTAGATAATTTTACTTAATTTGTTTTTAAAAATAATAATCAATTAAAAAATTAATTTGACTAATTTTTTTAAATCAATATATATACCAACCAAGTGCGACCTTGCTCTTTTTTTTTTCCTTCTTATAATTTATTTTATATATTTAAAAGTGTAGCCACCAATCTCATGATAGAACAAAAAAAAAAAAAAAGGTTTGCTAATCATTTTAAATCTTAATGTGTTATAGGATTGGATCACCAAGAGGTAAAAGGAAACCCTTAAAAGAATATACATATTGTTATAACATAACTGGATTTTCAGCAAATGATGTACATGTTAAGCGGTTATATGTAATTAGTCCTTTCATCGGGAAAGAAAACATATATATTATTGGCCCCTTTAATACCTCTAAACCAATATTAATTATATCTTTGACATTGATGTTAAATACATATCCGATTATTTTATTCTTATTGTTTAAATTTTTTTCTTCAATTATTTGTTTCTTATTAAATTATTTTTTAAAATTATTTTTATTTGTTAATAAATTTGGATTTTTAATATATGAATTTTGTAATAAAATTTTAGAACGTCAATGTTTTATTTTTTTAAATATATTATTATAATTTATACAATAAATTATTTTTATATTTTTAAATGAGTTATATATATATATATATATATATATATATATATATATATGAGAGAGAGAGAGAGAGAGAGAGAGAGAGAGAGAGAGAGAGCTAAAAGTATGTTTTAGATGGTTTGACTCAATTTTTTTAAAAAATAATAACGAGTTAAAAAAAATTCACAAGTTTTATTTGCTTTTTTATATATATTTATTCGGAATTTATAAGAACCAATTTTATTGTAGTTTTTATTTTAATTTATTGACTTCAATATATTTCTATAATTTAGGTGGTGTTTTTTTTCTCTATTTATTCTATATATTCTGAATCTATTATATATATATGTGTGTGTGTGTGTGTGTGTGTGATTAGTTTCATTAGAAATCAACTATATATAGATTCGATTTACATTAATCACCAAAAATAAAACTTTACGCTTATATTACACCATACGAATTGTTAACCCTATGTATATAATGGTTATCCGCCCACGACGTAGTGCGGGTATCCAACTAGTTTAAGACTAAACAAACTATAAAGATTAAAGTTATAACAAACAAATAAGGAAAATAACCTAATTTAAAGCCAAGTTCGATATCAAGCGATGTGAAAATTGCCTAACTCGATGGCCGAGAGAACCCACGAACTAGATAATTCAAAGTCGAGGAAAGCTAAATCGATTTTGAAGAATGGTATTAGATGTCACACTCCAAAATAGATAAGCGGAGAGTGATAAGTCAATGTGAATGCCATAAGAATTGTTGAATTATTGATATGTTCAAGATCAGTTCTTGGAAGAACTTAGGAGAGAATTTTCTCACAAATAACTCAATTTGATTAAGGTTTGATTAATGCCATATTCTAAAGCTTTTTTACA